CAACCAGGGAAATGCACATTAAAACCATGAGATCCCACTTCACACCCACTAGGATGGATGGAATAAAAAAGACAGACAATAACAAGTATTGGTGAGGACGTGGAGAAACTAGAACTCTCATACACTGCTGGTGGGAACAGAAAATGGCATGTCTGCTTTGGAAAATGATTTGTCAGTTCCTCAAAAAATTAAACATAGAGTGTTACCACATGACCCAGCAATTCTGCTCCTGGCTATCTACCCAAGCGAAATGAAAACACGTCCACACAGAAACGTGTACACAACATTTATAGCAGCTTTAATTGTTATGGCCCCCAGATGGAAATAACCCAAGTGTCCATCAACAGGTAGTTAATAGGTATCATGGTCCATCCACACAATGGGATACTGCCAGCAATAAAAATGCAGTATTGATATACACACAACCACCTGATAGATTTCAAAATGACAATGTTGAGTGAAAGAGGCAAGACATATACTGGACGAGTCCATTTATGTAGAACTCCAGAAAATGACAATCTCTAGTGACAGAAGGCAGAGCAGTCGTTGTGGGGATGGGGATGGGGGAACCACAAGGTTACTGTCTTGAGTGTGGGGTTGGTTTCACATGTGTATGCACACGTCAAAACTCATCTAATCATACACTTGAAAGATGTGCAGTGTATGCCCATTATACCTCCATAAGGCTGCCAAAGAAAGGCTAAAATATCAGGAACCTCTAAATCCATAGGCCTTTTCCCTACACAAACATTCCCAGGTGCTGGAGAAGGGCCAAGTATGGCATTCCTGAACACAAAAGGAATCACTGCACCACTCTCGAATGTCCAAGGTCTCGAACTTGGAGCTGTCCAGGAATCCCGGAGGGCCCCTATTCTGTGAAGTCATGGACACGCTGGATCTAGCGTAAGACAAAATTCCTGAGAATTGTGGATGGGGACCCTTGTGTCAAAGCAGTGCCCTCTCACATGTGTGGGGGACTCAGCCAACCATATCCACACATTGACACCTCAGGGGAGTCAGAACCCTCTAGATGACTACAATGTATACAATTTGTGGTGGTCGCAGAACAGTTCTTTCATGTTTAGGAAAATTGCTTCTCATTAGGAACCAGCTAGAGCCCAAACTTTTGCATGTGGCATCCCAGGCTCTCCATACCCTGGTTCTAACTGACACTTTAACCTGTAACTGTCCTACAGAAACCCTTCTAGGGTACCCCAGAGCATGCCCTTCTTCCACTCACCTGCCTCAACCCAAGCACTTCTTAGCTACCCCCCTACCCCACCAAGTCCCTCTGCCTCCTCTTTCTGAGAGCTGCCTTTTGCACCCACAATGCCAAGAGTGGATGCTGCCATGTTGCCTGAAGTCTGGCAACAGAAACAACCAGAAGGAAGTCACAGCTGCATTTCTCAGGAGACTGATGTGGTGTTTTGCTAAGGAACACATGGGACCAGGCCCAGCCTCCCTTCCTGGTCTCAAAGTCACAGTGTCCACCTGGCCTCCAGTGGCTGCCCATGATCCCCATCAGAGGAGCGGGCACCCTGGGCAGACCTAAGGCAGCTCGCCATGGGGCCTTTCTGTCTCACCTTCGCAGGGGCCCAGACGAACACCCAAGCATGGGCGCTGGATTCTTCCGCACAATTCCATGCTTATAGCCTTTCCTGTGCCCTTGAACCCAACTGTCTATCGAGCTAGTTTAAACCCTCAGAATAGCCCCTTTGCACTAGAGGGCTCGTTTCAAACCAATACTTGCAGACATTCCTTATTTGTTTGCAACCAAAGTAAATGGGAACAATTCCATCTCACAATGGATTCAGTCAGACGACGTACCAGTTATGTGGAGATACTGCCAGGGCACTTACGTGGCTCTTGAAAAGTCCAGTTTCCAAAGGCAAATGGTTCAAAGGTGAAGGAGCCCAAGGTTGGTATCCAGGGGAGTTCTTGGGGCAGGGGCAAAGCAGGCAGGACTCGCCCCAATAGTTTAAGCTCCTTTCTTTTTTTCTTTTGAGACAGAGTCTCATTCTGTTACGCAGGCTAGAGTGCCGTGGCGTCAGCCTAGCTCACAGCAACCTCAAACTCCTGGGCTCAAGCGATCCTCCTGCCTCAGCCTCCCGAGTAGCTGGGACTACAGGCATGTGCCACCATGCCCGGCTAATTAGTTTAAGCTCTTACATTCTGTTACTAGTTGTCCATCAAAAAGCAAGCGTGGGCCTCGTCCTCATTCCCCACGCGGCAAGGGGGAGGGGCCCCATGTCAAAGCACCATGGAAGGAAACACACAAGTGTCCCCTCTGGGCACTCTTATTCCATGCCAAACCCGTTCAGTTCCTGTTGCATACCTGACTACCATACCTAAAACAAAATGATACTAATAATTGCAGTGCAAATCTATTAATAATTGAGAGGAGCTAAATCAGACTCAGAACACACAAAAGGATGTGCTGACATTTTAAGTGTAATTCATCTAGGTAAGACTGGGGACCCTGGAGCTTTTCCAAAATCAGACTGCAAGTATCCAGCATCTGTCTTGGCAAATCTACTTTCTGCTGAAAACACCTGTACAGTTTCCTTCCTGTGTCTAGTCGTCCTTGAGTGTAGGTCCCCAGGTGAAAAAAGGAGCTTATGTTCAAAGCAGAGTTAGCTTATAAGTTAGAGCCAATGGAATGGCGTGGTAACGAGGAGATACAACACACTTTAGTGAAGGCCGGTTACTGTGTGGCCTGCAGGCACCCCATCGTTCACTTAACTAGGGCGATGGAAGTGGTATCAGGGTGCGCCAGTCGCTTCCTCGCCTAGTTCACTTGAAGAAAGTGAGACTGGAGCCCAAGTACACAGCCTCCTGCCACTGGCGCCCCCCTGCAGGAAGGGGGACTGCTTTCCTGAAGCCGTGCCAGCCCAGCAAAGACTGTCTGTGCCTCAGAAGGACCCAGCCTTCCCAACTACCTCACCAGAGACTTCCAATGTACCGCTCCTAATACTTCTTTTCCTACTGGGAGCCCAACACTGCAGATGCTTTGGGTTGCCTCGAGGTAAAGCTAGAGAAACTATGGCCCCAAGTCTGAGTTCACTGTGCCAGGAGTGCCACGTCCCTTTCCCACGTGTTTACTAAGCGCAGGCACTGAGCTCAGCACAGAGGACATGGGATGGAACATGACGTGCAGCTGCAGGCTTACAGACAAGAAGGCAACCACAGGATGGGGGTACAGGCACCCAATGCAGGAGGCTACGAGACAAGAGCAAGTTATAAGAACCCTAGGACTGCCCACAACATTTATATGTATATAACACTTACATACGTGTATGTGTGCGTATCTATCTACATATAATTGGAGTTCTCCTAGTGACTGGAGCTCTAAGCAGCGTCCTCAGACGAAGCCCTGTATTTCCAGGTCTTCCCACACTCTCCTGATAGGAGGCAGCTGTCTTTGAACCTCCCTCCTCTGGCAGGGAAAGGTGCAGCTCCCGGAGATGGGGGGCTGGCCTCCATGTGCCTACCACCTACCTGCCCTCAGGCATTGTGTATGACAAAGCTCTGCTCTCCACTGGGAGTAGAGATGGCTGGAAGGAGGTGGCCGCTGCCGACCAGTATGCCGGGCTGAGAACACCCAGGGGCAGAACTCCTGGGCCTAGCTCTGGGGACAGCATGGGTGGAATAGGACAGGGCCTGCCAGCAGCTGCCTCTGGCTAGGTTCTCCTTGAGAACCCTGGCCTTCAGTAAAGTGCCATTCAAAGGGCCTGCCCTGTCTCCACAGGGCTGAGGGGAAGAGGGGTGGATTGCGTGGTCACAGAGAGAGGAAGAGCCAGGCTTGCCACCACACTCATCAGATGTCGGGCCTGGGGTGGCTCCTCTTCTCCTGCCTGAGGTCTTCTCAGAGGGTTGGGGGGATTCTTATTTAGGGGGTGATTCCCTGACAGGCTCATATGGCAAAGCTCTGTGTTTCAACCTACATTAGCCCTGAATACAAAAACATTCAAAGCATCTGAGCCTCCCATATTCGAAGAAATGTCACGTGAAAGAGTCAATGGGAGATGCTGGGCATGCTCTGTTGCAATGCAGGGCCACCTGAGTGCAAATTCCAAACCCATCTTGCTTTCCTCCTAATTGTCACCAGCCACAAGGGGAGGCTGCCTGAGAGGAGGAGCAGGTAAGTTTGAAGCTTTAGGCCAAGGTGGCCTTTGCTGGTGGGGTCTGGGGCAGAAGGCAGTGGGTGGGCAGGGAGGATACTGAAGCCAGCGGAGTGGCTGGCAGCAAACATGAGCAACCAGGGAGAAGGGCTCCTCTCCCAGAAAGAGAAGCTGAGAGTCCCGGGCCTGGTCCTGCCTGCAGGGCCTGGGCCAGCCACTTCCCATAACCACCCTGGGGAGGTGATGTGGGCTGGGTGCTGCCCCGCTCAGAGGCACCCTCGGGCCCACTCCTGCCCCATGCCCGCATTGGGAGAGCAGAGCAGCAGGCTAGCCTCAGACCCCTCCAGCTGTGAGTGCTGGAAGGACTAAAGTGCTTTAGTGTCCCCTACGTGGGAACATGGACAACTCTCAGGGGGAGGCAGCGACCCCACTAAGGGAAACGGTCCAGTCCTCTGTAAACTCAAGGGCCACTGCCCCATGCTGGCTCTACTGGTGCTCCCTGCCCCACCCCGCAGCATGCAATTCTGTCCCACAGGGGAGGAGAGCGCAGATTAGCAGGTCCCGGCACGATGCGCGAACCTGCTCCCACATCCCCTGCACACGCACTCACGCGCCTGCGCACACAGCACAGTGTCCTCCGCAGCGGCGCAGGCGTGGTTGGCACAGTCCCTGCGTATCAGCTGTCAGCGCCAGTCTGTCAGTGGAGGGGTGGCAGCACACTGCGCCGGGCTCTGCGGGGCTCCCTTCTGAGTCTGTGGCCTGTGTCTCAGCCTCAGGGCCAGGCTCTGCCCTGTGTCTTCTGGTGGCCGCAGCCGCTCCCCTGCGAGGGTGTCCTTCCAGCTGTGGCCTCCCCCCCGCAGGCCGTCCCACGCCAGGGACTCAGCGGCGACTCGCACCAGGCCGGGCGGCGCTGCCCGTCCGCGGAGGGCCTCCGTCTGCGGTGCTCCCGCCAGGGCTCCCAGGCCGGCTGGCAGTCCTGGCGCCCACCAGCTTCCGCCCGCTGTGTACTGCCTGGTGCTTGAACAGGTTGGCCCGGCGGCCAAAGGCCTTGCCACAGTCACTGCACTCATAGGGCTTCTCGCCGCTGTGCACGCGCCGGTGCTGGCTGAGCCCCGAGCGGCCTCGGAAGGCCTTGCCGCACTCTTGGCACTCGAAGGGCTTCTCGCCGCTATGGCTGTGCTGGTGGTGGATGAGCTGCGAGACGCCCTTGAAGGCCTTGCCGCACTGGCTGCAGGCGTAGGGCTTGTTGCCGCTGTGAGTGCGCTGGTGCTCGATGAGGTTGGAGCTGCGGCTGAAGGCCTTGCCACACTCCGGGCACGCGTAGGGCCGCTCGCCGCTGTGGATGCGCGCGTGCTCTAGTAGCGCGAAACTGCGCCGGAACAGCTTCCCGCAGTCCGGGCAGGCGTAGGGCTTCTCGCCGCTGTGGATGACCCCGTGCTTGATGAGGTTGGAGCTGCGGCTGAAGGACTTCCCGCACTGCTGACACAGGTACCGCTTCTCGGCACCGTTGGGGCACTGCTGCTGGCCAAGCGAACTCTGCCCGCCGCCCTGGACACTTCGTGGCACTGAGGCTCCTGCGGGATGGCCCTGCGGCAGAGGTGACCTTGCTACCTGACTCCCCTTGGCACCCTGAAGATCAGCGCCTGGGAGTTCTCCTTGAGAATGTTTTTGCATTGAAATCGACGTCTTGCTCTTTATCCAGTGACCTGGAAAAGACAGAAGAGCACCAGAGTCACCAGTGCCAACTCTCCCTGGGTCTATACTGAGGGTTTTGCCCTCCTCATCCTTGTGCCAAGGCAAAGGAGAGAGGAGCAGGAGATGAGGACTTGGGGGAAGGAGCAGGATGCCTGCAGAGCAGAAAGCCATCACACAGGCAGCCAGGAGCCAGAGGGGAGGGTGACAGGCTGGAAACAGCGGAGCTGGTGTGACACCTGGCACTGTTCCAGCACCCCTTGGGAGGCTGACATCTGCCACTAAAGAGAATCTCTCACCCAAAGCGGCAGCATCGCCCTCCTTTGGCCACAGGTATTTCTTTCCTTTTGACTTAGGCAAGCCGGCTGAGCGCCCATCACTCACCTTCCTGCAGTCCTGCAGCGGCCCCTGTTCTGCGGATGCCTGCTACCCAGGGCCCCTCCCCTCGCTCCAGCTGGGAGATCAGGTGAGGCTTGGAGAAGGAAAATCCTGTCCGTGGAAATGAAGCGGGTCAGGACCATGGTGGCTAAGGCCAGGGTCACTCCTGAACTCAGGCCAGCCTTAACATCTTCAGGTAACAGAGAACAAAGAACTCTCTAAAAAGTGCCCCTGGAAGGTCCAGAGAAAGGGTAGAGTCCCTCTAAGGAAGCAAAGGGATTCTGAGTGTCCAGGGGCCAGGTGGGCACAGGGGGTTGTAAGCAGGTGGTGACTTGGGCCAAGGGGACAACCATGTTGTCACTTGGCCTGCAGGGAGGCTGGGGGGCTTGCGAGGAGTGGGGGATCGGTGTGAAGACCCCGTGGGACAGAAGGGCTGCAGCAGGGACTCCACAGGGGGCAGGCCAACAACCATGTGCCCAGAAAGCTGAAGCATCCTGTTTCATCATCAGACTCAACTGAGGATTCCAGAACTCTTCCTTGGAACCCCAGATCTGTCCGTTGAGGGTCAGAAAGAACTCAGGGGAAGGAACTGGTCTTTCTCTATGGGGTTAGATTACAGAGGTGGCATCTGCAGAGTCTGGAAGAAGAGGGAGTAGGGCTCAGTCTCAAGCAGGCCCCTCACACCCACATGGCAGTGGGTGAAGCGGGGAAGCCACCTCTGGATTGACAGCCCACTCCTGGCAGCAGGAAGATGCCTGGAGAGAGTGCCCCCACCAGGCCAGGCAGAGGAGCACGCCGGGCTGGCAGGAGGGAAAAGCTGATTCCTGGGCGTCTCCCTGGCGTGCTCTGCTGGGCAGCTGCGCGGGGCAGGGCAGGTCACTGGCCCCCACCTGCCCAGCCTGTGGATCCTGGTTTTGCCCTATAACTGGCAAAACGGATGCCCCTTTGTGCAGCAGGGGTGTGCTGGCAAAGGAGGGGGAGAGTAGCCTGCTCAGAGCTATCCCAGCTCCTTCCTGGACTTCTTGAGGCTTGAAATCCAAGTGCATGCCTGGTCCTTGTGTGGGACCTCCATGGCTGATGCAAGGAAAGATGCTGCTAAATTCTCTAAAGTAGAACAAAGGAAAAATGAAACCACTGAAAAAATGAATTAAGTGTAAAATAGTGCATGTAAATTTTGAGCATAATTTGCATCTATCTTTTGTAGAAAGACATTCAGTCAATGCGTGGTTTTATCTGCAAAATAAGTCTGGTTGGGCATTACTGAAATTTGCAGGCCCACGCATTTACCTCTAACATTTACTTAGCTCCAGAGAGTTCTGTTGAGATGACAGCTGGCCTACGGCGGATTACCGGTCTGATGGAGAAATGCATTTACTCCTACACTCATAGTAAGCAACAAATGAGGAAACTCAGAAATAACTGAGTCTGGAGACAGAGGAGGTAGGACTGGGGATGTGCATGTTAAGGGGGTCACTTACCTAGTGACACCAGATGGCCATAGTTCTCCAGCATCACCCGCTTGTAGAGGATCCTTTGTCTGAGGTCCAGAAGCTTCCATTCTGTCTTTGTGAAGTACACGGACACGTCCTCAAAAGACACTGGCACCTGAAATAAGCCATTCCCGTGGCCACAGGGGAGTTCAAGCTGCAGGTCCCAGGACAAGCTGGCAGCAACAAAACATGGGGTGCAGAGCCCTGGAGAGCTCAGCACGTGGGGGAAGCTCGGGGATGTACTTGCTCCTGGAAAGAGGAGCCAACAGAAGGCAGGACACCTAGCTTGGGGCCTCAGGAAAGGGGAATGGCACTTCGGGCAGCCCTGCTCCCCTGGCTGCAGAGGCTGAGGGAGACGCTGGGGCAGGGGCGCCGCTCACCTTGGGTCTTGACGTCAGGAGAATGGCCGCCATCACCAGGGCACAGAGGAGCTAGGGAATGGCAAAGAGCCCACGTGAGATGAGGAAACTTTTGTTGTTTTCCTTGTCAGATGGTCCCAGCAAGGCAGGGCTTTGGAGAGTGAGAGGGCGAGCAGGGAGAGGCCCGCGGGCTTGGTGCCCTGGACATTCTGCCGAGCACAGCAGCCACCCGCAGCCTCCTCTCTAGGAGAGCCCATGGCTTTCTCATTCTCGTAGCTTCACTGAGGGCCCTGATGACCACACCAGACGTATGGCTTCCTGGGGCTGCTGTAACAAAGTGCCACAGACTGGGTGGCTTATAACACACATTTATTCTCTGCCAGTTTTGGAGGCCAGAGGTCCAAGATCTAGGTGCAGGCAGGGCCACACGTCCTCCAAAGGCTCCCTCCTTGCCTCCTCCAGCTTCTGCCGGCTGCCAGCTTCCCTTGGCTGGAGCCGCATCACTCCAGTCTGTGCCTCGGTCTCCACGTGGCCTTATTCCCCGTGCGTCTGTGTCCAAACTTCCCTCGTCTTTTAAGGACACCAGTCACTGGATTAGGGCCTGCCGTACTCCAGTATATATGACCTCATCTTACCTTGATTACATCTGCAAAGACCCTACTTCCAGATAAGGTTACCTTCACAGGTACGGGGGATGGGACATCAACGTATCTATGGGGGGACATAATGCAGCTCATAACACGTTCCCCATCTGAGCTCCCTGAGAGACAGGAATTGATAGTAGGAGAATGTACTTTGTTTTGTGTGGAACAAATTGTCTGAGATTAAAAAAATGTGTTCTCATTGATTCTAACTGATGCCATTTGCTTCTGTAACCATGCT